ATATATTTGTTATGGATGACTATTTGAGGTATCGTCTACTAAATTTATTACACGCAAGGTGATGAGCATTGACCTGAGATCGTTGACATGTGACGCAAATATATAATCCATTGCTATAGTTTTAAAAATACAAATGTGAATGAAATTAGCCTAATATTATTGCTAAATTAATGAGCTGCGAAAATTGTAACAAATATTTTGGACGTGTACACTTTACATCCTTTCAAACAGTAAGCATAAATCACTTTTTATCCGACATAGCTTAAATACTCTAAGACTGTTGAACAGAATGATTGAGTATGAAGTTAGTTACATGAAAAACGCAAATTGCCAATTACCGTCAAGATCAGATGCTCAAAAAGTCTTAAACATACAACCACATCCTTCAAAGATAGTATTTCTCAATATTTAATTCAATAATTAGGAATAATAAACAGGAATGCCTGGGACAGGTATGATATATGCATAAACATTGATTTCCAATTATATACCATGTTTGGCAGATGTATTATTTTGATTTCTAGTTAAACTAGCGAATTTATACAATTACTATATGCTATTCAAACACAAACAGATTAGTTGACCACAAATATGTTCACGATAGTGCTTTTAATTGCCATACCAATGAGAACAAATGATTATTTGGCCTACGTCAAAAGGAAGTCGTTTTCAGAACTTTCAGACTTCGATTGGATTAGAATGTGTATTTCAACGGGAGACCTACGATACATTTTTTTTAATAATATTTTGAGAGCCTGTTTATCGAAAAAATCGCACAAATGAGCTCGAAAAAATGTCTAAAAATGGCACCGCGTGTACTTTTTTTTAAGCATAGCTTTCGCTGTCGCCCATAATTTTCTTAGACGTGGATTTGATACGCATAATAGTTCGATTTTCAAATTGGGTCGGAATTAAGCAAAATAACATATGTTTCGCGTTCCATATGAAAAGAGATCGAGACGTAATCCAACCCCGCAATTGAAAATATCAAAATCAGGCGATTTGCAGCATTAACCTTAAGCATACATCTGAAGAAGCACGTTTCACATGTATATTGTGGTTGTCTGCTACATGGTGTGAATTGCATTTACATCTCAAGACGACGGAACGGCTCATTACCTGGGTGGTTTTTAAAATCCACAGGTTCAAAATATTACGATAGCTTGTAATATCTAAGCAGGTACTCACATTGACTTTTTTGCAAGGTTTCGAATAACGGCACACAAAAATCTGGTTATCATTTTAAGGGCCAGAGTGTGTGGTCGTGAGGTGGGACTTGAGTTACATGGTTTGGATCTAACGTTTTTAACCGCGAAGAAATCAAGCGTGCGTGAAACTGTAGAATGTATATATATGACTTAAGCGCATATTATTGCATTTGCATGCTGGGTGCAATATTAATACAACACAAAACACTAAAAATTGTTTGCAAAGTATATATATGATAAACATTTCACACGAAGAATATTTTCACAAATTAGCTTATGTATACATATGCTCATAGTAACACATTTGAAGATTGATGACATTATAACTTCTCATTGCGCAATGTAAAATGGTACCTTGGTACATCATAGTTATTACAAAAAAATAACTGGAACAGATTTTGAAATGATGCCGAATTAAAAAAAACTCCAAAACGGAATTGCCCCTTGGTACACTAAAGCGAGTAAATTAAATTTTGAAGTTTCGGTTATTCACAGCTTTGTGAGTAAAAATTCCTATATGTCAATGTCAGTATACCTAAAATCCAAAACTTAAATGTTTGGCTTACAATCCCATATGGCGTTACACACACAATACCACATAGGTCAATTTTTCTAACGGTACACTAATATTTGTTTGCAGGTTGCCGCAATGCAGCCTCGTGGTATAAATACATTACCACAAAGTCGTTCCGGATCGAACATTCCTTTGTAAAATCATATTATACGAAAGCGGAAAAAGCGTTATGAAGTTAAGACGAGTTTGGATACATTGAGCAGTAACAAGGCTAAATGTGCGACATACGACGTATACTTGGACGCAGATCTAAATGAATTCAGCCGTAGAATTTGATGGACGAATTTTGACAAAATACACAAAACGTGCCGATAAACCACTTTGGCAGATTTTCTACTTCAAATTTCTTTCGATTTGTAAATTATTGTAGTAAACAAAGAACTAAAATATAAAATCCAATGAAGTTGCCTATTAGAAGTAAAAAATCCCACGGTTAATGTAATTAAGGAAGAGGAAACTCAAGAGTTGATCACGGCATAAACCAGGAATTGACCTTGGTGCGTGACATAGCAGGGCCAAGTCAAATACCCTCAATGTGATGTTGACGTACTGAACTAAATATAGTTCTGCGACATACATTGGATTGATAAATAAAATAAAATGAATCTCTCAGAAGAAGCCGCTATCTGGCCCAGATTCAATTGGAGGTTTATAGGGCGGAACGCGAAGAAACGCCTTTGTTTTGTTTATGATTGATATGAATGCACAAAACGATTTGCGAGTAAAGTTTCTATCAACAACTTAGCTATAGGAATTTTAAATATCGTTACCAATTGAGACAAATGACATTGCCGTTATAGTCTCAACTAAATATACGTTGAACGAAACTTTTCGGATCTAATATTGTAATGTATACCAAACAGTATCGGGTTATTTCTTCACTTCACCAAGCTTTACTTGTCTGCCCGTGATTTTCTTTAAAAATACAAGCAAATTCAGAATATCTAATTAAACACATAGAATTACCATCGGAAAAGCAGTGTGTTTTTACGAATTTCGAAATCGCAATTCAAATATATGGTGCATTTCTATATTTGTTACAATTTTTAAGACATTTTATTAGAAGATTTGGTTAAATCTAAATAGCTTTATGCTCCCACCACCAGAGTTCGAATAATACGGTAATTATAAAATAAAGTTGCAAGCGTTGATGGATAACCATAGTAATCTGCATCTAATGCCATTCATCTCCCAATTCAAAATCAAACAATATTATAAAACAATTTGTTGAAACCGACATGAAAACAACATTAAAAATCTTGAAAAAATGAAAACTAATAATTTTTTAAATACTTTTATCTTGGTGTAACACAGCTGCATTAGAAATAGCTATAAAATTAATTCGATTTTCCAAACTTTAACCTCAAATTAATAGTAGGGATGAATGTATGTCCAAATCGCTGTGTGAATGGCTTCCCACGTATAGGGACCATAATGAGCTGTCATATATACGGGGACTTTGATTGCTGGGGCAGCCACGCAGATTGTGAACCACCCATCAAGCGCAATGTTTCATGTAAAAACTGGAGTACACTACCTAAGGTCCGACGTTGTTCATAAACTAGTTAAGTCTATAATATCTAACAATATTTTGGGAATTACGTCTTTGGTGATTGATGGCGTTATAATTTAGAGTTGTTGACACCAAAATGATAAGCCAGGCCATCAATAACTTCACTTATATTGCTTCGAAATTGATAACAGCAGAAAAAAGTATAGCGGATTGCGTCATGTGTGAATCTGTGGACGTTGTATCTATTGCACGATGGGCGTTGTATCAGATTAAATTACCGGGTGTGGTAATACGAGGCTATTTAAAACTTTCATTGGATAAATAGGAGAATTAACTACATAATATTAATGTTTTTTTTGTCAATTTATTGAATTGAAAAACCAAAACTACAATAAAATCGAATAAGCATTCGCTGAATGAGTAGGCTATATATATACTGGAAATGGGCTTTGTGAGTCATGTTATGAGTATTTTCGAAAATTCCTCCAAGTGACCAATTTATTCAAGGAATGGTCACGCGCCGTCAAACTTATAAAACTCAATCAATTATTTGGGATTTTCCAATTTTTAGGGCTGTAATAAGAGTCTCGGATAGAAAGCAATATCGCAAGTTCAAACTTACATTTTTGTTCACTACTCTTCTTTGAATGGCCACTTTGAATTACAGCTATTTACATTTGTTGAATTTCTCACGTAAAACTCGTACATAACAAATCCCTTAATAAAGACGAACATCAGAATCACGCGAGTTCATATGTACTTTTCAGTTTGGGCCATTGTGCTAGAAATTATCAATTGTTATTGTCAAAATCGAAATTGCGTCGCATCAAGGCCGGATTGAGACTTTTGTCGACCTTAGGTTGGGTGCTGACTGTATACAGCAGTCCAATGCCTATGAATTACTATATTCATTGTACGACTACAATCCCGAATCCAAATTGAAATAGAATACTGATACAAGATAGATGAATAAAATATTATTTTCCTATCTAGCTTTCCGGTGAAGACCACTATAGTTTCTTTAGGTAGGTTGGCATCGATGAGGCCCATTTTAGATATTGTCCCCGGGACTGCATCCTCATCAATCCCCGCTCTGAACTCAATGCCAAATTGCATATCCATTGAGTGATTCATATATGTCTTACAAAGTTATGAGCAGACATATTGGCGCCTGATTTGTTTACATTTTGAGTTTAAACATGTTGTAATGGCCACGCAGATATGCAATCACCAAACATGTGTTCAAAAGCTACTCGCTCTTGATGATTTACAAATACAAACTCATTATATAAGTTACCTATATTGAACTCAAACATGTACTTTATAAAACTGGAATTCCGAAAGTTATTTCGGATGTTGATAATTGTGCAAAGTTGGATATCCCCAAAAGAGAGTTTATGCTACGGAAGTGCACAAATTTTTCTTCAAAAATAATATATCTGTGGAAAGTACGCTAAAGAGGCAGTATTTTCATTTCGCACGTAGTAAGTTATAGGTAGTTGCGTGTCCAAAGCGACTATTGACTTGTTTTGTGTATTGAAGCATTCTTATCCCATCAATCTCTCAATAAACTATCACAAATGATCTGTCTGGATGCCTCTGTTGTGTACCGAAGTGACTATCCGACGGAATTACTCGTTGATGCAAGACGTCCACAATTTTCATGTATAAACAGGCACAAACAAAATTAACCATAAGCACTTACGGAGTTTTCTTGAGCGTAAATAAAAGTCAATGACGTAATCCACAAAACACCCAGAAACAACCAATCATGCGACAGTATCCACATTATGATATTTGCAATATATTCCAACGTCTCTGCCAAACTTATTTTCTTCGTTTCCGATAGAAATTTTATTTAAGCCCGACCTAACAAGGATCAGTTTAGCGACTCACACATATTAAATTTTCCGTCGTTTAAACTTCATAATATTATTTTATCCTGAAATTCAAAAGATAGTCACTAATTTAAATGCAGTTGCGATGGCGAAAAAGATCTTTTTTAACCTTTGAACTGGTCCCATATAAAACACATTGGTTGCATTTCTCTTTGAAATCCCATAAAAAAAATAAGTTCCATTAGCCTTTCATCATTTCCTACTTTCCCACAGATTATCTATGTACATATAGTACAATTAGACACTCCCTATCTAATTTCGATCAATTTAAAAAAAACTGTTAAAAAATACGTTCATATAATGTTAATCCATATCATTCATTTATTCAAGGAACTCTAGATAAGAAAACTCTGAACTCCGAAAAAAAAAAAACCTCGACAAATTTGAATTTTCTCTTGAGAAGTTTTGAAAATAAATCGGTATTTTCTTTTTTAATGTACGTGTATAATACAATTCAATATTATTAACAGTGCATTTAGTCCTTTCGGCTCGTCCTAGTCTCGTTGTTAGGAAGTTAAGCGTCTAACGAAACCGCCACCTGGTCGATTAAAATGATAAGTGCTCCTTCAAGACGGTATAGGTAAATAAAATGATGAAAATCTACAATCTGTTCTGGGCACGGATAGTTCTTATACTCTACTATCGTTGATACTGCCTATCTTTGAAGTGCCGTTGGTTACAATAACTTGATACTGACAAATACAAGATTTAAGATATTCTGGTAGTAATTTAAGAAAAATAATGGCGAATATAATAATACATAATTATTACTTATCATTTTCAATGTAATAAAATATTATTAGCCAAGTCAGCACTTGTACTAGAATCGAAAATGCAAGCGGGGCTTTTCGAAAAAGATTGAAAACATTTTTTGGAAGCAGCATTCTGGGATCTGATAGTTCAAATGGATAACGTTATTGAAATAATTAAGATTGACTTTCGCCATAATTACCAGCTTCAAATGATTTCCTTTCTTCTACTTCAACTAAAACTTGAGCAACGAAAAAGAGTACACTGGGTACATGACCTTAATAACTCGGTATGAAAGCAATTATCAAACAACACTAATCTTCAACCGTCTCATTTTCAAATGCACAAATAAAACCATTTGACACCGATATTTCATCAACATAACACTTCCTTTTCAGCCTAACCTGCGACGACGACGAACTAGCTACAAGCGATGTAACTCTCGTTTTTGCGTCGTCGAATCCAGACAGTCGACTTTGGAAACCGCTAAATTTTTGCGGTGTCGCGCGACTGCAGTTTATCGTCAGCCGAACGTGGCTGATGAATGTTTTCACACTCACCTGACTGTGAAATAAAAAGGACAATATTCAGCCATGGCCATAGATGGAAATTTTTTTTAATCAATATCCATATTTAATTTTAACCTGAAATGTATTTTTTGACAGCTTTTATCAGAAGATGTATAAAGCCAGTACCTTTTACATTATTTCTAGTAAAGTATAATTTTATTTAGTTCATGTCTTAATATCCCAACTGCTTCTCTTATACGGTAAGCTGTCGGTAATAATAATTTCATAATAGTTGTATAAATACACATATTTCGTTGGGTACTCACCTATTAGTTGTGTCATTGGGCATTTAAAACGAATTGAACAAACATAACTCATAACTTAACAAATATGCTTATCAATTTTTTTAAACAAGGCTTATGAATCACACATTCACGGACTTGGGCGTAAATACTCTGAGACACCATAACTTTCACTCAAATATTATTGCGATATCGACCCCAAATGACCCTAGTACTAACCGTGAGTTTACATGTAAACTAAAGTTAAACTATATACACTGGCCTTGAAACTAATACCACTTCTTAGAAACACATTGTTAAAACGAGTCGCCAATAATGTAAATCGTTATACTAGGATTTATCTCATGAAAACTCGTAAATACATGTATCGAACGGTATTGATTTCCTATTTCTCTCTCAAAACACTAACCGATTTTTAATAATTACTGATTTACTTTCTCGTTAACAGCAATGATATAGATATTTACCTAAATAGACAAAACAATTTTTCATTACCTAAGTAGACTGACTAGTCGGTCGTTTACGTTACGGGTGACTTGCTTCGGCCGATGTAAAACTGACGTTCTAAGGTGCGCAGCTTAATGATGGATTATGGGAATATTATGCAAAATTCCATTGTCACATAGATGTAATTTAAAGGTATTATAACCATGCGATTGCGTAAATCAAATTTCAAATTAAAGGTCAAGGTATATGAAACTAGTAGGGAAATTATAAATGAAAGTGTGAGTATGGCGAACCTATATTATTGCATCGAAAAAAGTTATGGGCCGTAAGGCGGCAGACTATATCGCAAAAATAGAATTCGTTGTGACGTCATAGTCGTGTTATTTGCTCATTTTTCAACAACGCATTGACCACAACGTGCAATAATATGAGATAAGAGCTTAACAACATAAATACGGAATCATCAAAAGGAGGTAATAACCACCTACTGAGAAATTTTGACTGATTTAAATTTGTTGCTTCATATAAAATACAAATAGCAAGTGTCTGCCACAACCCCTGGTCTATGCTACTTCCTAGGCTTGCACGTAATTGACAAAAATCAATTCCGTAATTACGGCCAAATCGATTACGTAATGACCCCGTAATTGCGATATTTTTTTCACACTTTTAAACCTATCATAACAACCAATTTAATCCACTTCTATTCCGAATGGGACATCGACAGTTGGGACAGTTTGGTTTTCATATTTCCGCCAGTACTACACGCCAGCGACAGATGCTAAAGACAAATATCAAGGAGTGAATTCAAATTAATTTTATTCTGATTTTTGTCCTTTGTGTTGGCTTTGATTTTCCTTTATCAACTTTATCACCCAATTTTATGTGATCAATTTTATCATTACCAACACTGGTAAGTGGTAATATATTTATGAAACGATAGTTGACTTTTTTTAAATCATATTAACGTATTAATACGAGTTTCGTATTAACTAAAAATTCCGGGTTTCTAATTTATAAATCAACGACGAGCGTATTCTCTCGTTTGATTATACTTGCGCTTGCCTCGCGACGAAGACTTGTTATTGTACCGTTTTTTTACATTATCCGACTTTACTACCTAGTTAGCATTTTATAATATTTATTGATGCCGACTTATTTACGATATTCCGATTACCATGCTTCATTTTACATTAAATGATTTCGCGGCCTAAATGTTATAACATTATTTGCGATAAATTTAGATCAAATATTAATTATTTGCGCATAATTTAAATACCGTACTTATATGACATGCCTTCTCCGAAAATACAAAGTTATATCGCAAAACAATGCATTTGGTGACATTTATTTTGCACTCACGAAAATATTAATTTACTTTTCTAACTCAAGTCGACACAAGTTTGGTCGAGTGCCGGTGGTATTTGAGTCGACGATAAATCAAAATAAGTTGCCGCATTTGGTAAAGACTTAAAGATATTGTAAAGACATATTTGGCCGAAATAGTGCGAGGCATTGTGAAAACAAGGCCAAGTCCGGACAGATATATAACGATAAAACCGGTAACAGAACATCAAGATTTTGTAATAGAAAATGGCTCTCGCGCAGTATAAACATGGGAAATCCCGTCTTTTTGTTGTTTCTCTGCCGTCTGAATCGCTTTACCGATGCCGAAAAGACTAAGTTGCGTTGGTTCATTACGCAATTTCTCTTCCGTCGTCATATTGCTGTTTGATAAGCGCGACATTAATTATCACGGCATTTACAAATAGACCATGTTTGGTAAGTTGTCTCTTACATTCTTTAGTCATTTCACCCGAAGAAGTTGAAACCAGGTGTGTTGGCGTCCATCGGTCTCGACACAATTCTATCCCATATCTACGCTCAATATGTACATTTGCCATGCTAGATAAGTTGATAATAGATCAGTAAATGGCAACGCGTTATGCCTTCTCCATCTGCGTAACAAGAGAGAGAAAAACGGCTGCGAATACCGGAACTCTAACTTCTTCTACTTTTTAAACTTTAATTTTTTACAATCGACGGAATTGACTGCTCTAAAGAGAGCTCGTTTCAATCGCGAAAGCGCTCCACCAATAATTACGAATTTACGTAATTCGTAACTTCGCTTCCGTAACTCGAAATAATTCCGTAATTCCGTAAATCCGTAAATTACGTGCAAGCCTACTACTTCCTGGTGTTCAGTGCGGGCAAATTGTCACGGGAAAGCATTAGAAGTGTGCACCTTGTATTACAACTTTTTTACATCTTTTATACCTGTTTTTATCGACTGGAAAATTAGCTATTAATGAATACCACCCACCCGACGACGACCAAGCTGTTGTCCAGGCAAGGTTAACTACAATAAAATGAATGAAAACCTCGACGTTTCTTTATTTTGTAACATTAATACTATGTAATGATACAAAGATGAGTTACATTGTGATTCGCGTCAGCGCGCTTAAAAATAAAATCGGTAGAAAATTTCAATTATCTTCGCTTCAACATTCCCACCATATCTTAATTTGAATCTCCATCATAAGAATGCTGTCTAACTACCGGCAACACATGTATTTTAACCATATAATTGTTGTTGCCACACGAAAATCACAACACATAAATTCCCAAACTGACCAAAAGCAGTGGCATATATATTGTGGCTCAGAGGAGCCAATGTAACGTTGTTCGCTAAACCGTCCTTTTACTATTGATTTTTCAAAACACCCCATATTCAGGAGATTTCTGCCTAGTATTTTAGTTGAAACTATAAAAAGAATCTTCGATTTTGGTTAGCGAAAAGGTTAGATTCAATTTCATTTAAAACGCTCCAGCCGTCCAGCGTCATATCTCCAAAATCTGTAGGTCGTTATCATATTCACGACACGCAGTTTAATGAAATTGCATAAAATTGGTATTTGAATACAAGCACGATAATCGTTGTTGTGGCTAAAATATGCCATAAAAGGTTACACACAAATACCATTAACACGAAATTGGTGAAAAAAAGGTATGTGGTAGTAGTGGTAAACCCAGCTACAAAATACATTGAGTT